CTCCTAATTTATCTATCCTTTGGCCCTAGGTTTCAAAGACACATCTTACAATTGTTTCAAAAACCAGGGGAATGTGGGGTCCCTTGTTCGTTTCTTTCTTTTTCCCCGGTTGTCTGCTTACCCCTCCAACAGCTTGTTTCTTCCACTAACTCAATCGTTTGCCCTTTGCTTCGATCCACTGGTTGGCTCCTGCACTCGCTACACTGCTCTTCCCATTCAATGGCTGGGTCTTCAAACACCAGGTCGCTCATCGACTTGCGCTTGTATCTAACCAACCCCCTCCTCTTCTGTCCTTTGTCGATCGCGGTGTCCCATGGCCGATCAAAGGAGAAACCAAACTAACAAACTTGGTGAGTATATCAAACCGTCTCATCTCTGCTCTACACCGTTTTCTTTCTGACACCATCGTTCTCTTTGTGTCTGTACCTTCACCTCCACAAACGAATCGTTTGGACCACCCCTCATCTGATCGTTGTTTGAATCGCGAACTGGATTTGTTAACGACCTGTCATCCCAGGATCATTGTCGTCTGGAGCATGCAACTCTTTGGCAGGTCAGTACTTGGCTCTACATGATTTGATTGTTACTCACTCAACTATCAACTCAACACTGATACATTCTCCTTCTCTCACGTTTACTGAATTTTATAGGAGTTCCGATTGGTACACCTTACCATCAAAACAATCGACGTGGTGTTGTAGGTGCTACGTTATCAAGCCAGACTCGGCCATCAGGAATGTCGCCATTTTTTCTTCAAACAACACCAACACCTCAATTGTTGCCATTGCACACACAAACTACGGTGAGTCCATTGTTCTTCTTAAGGCCAACATCTATAAAGATATGTCAAGCGAACCAAATTCTGACTGTCTTATTTACCCTCCTGCACCTCATCACAGTCCGATACACTCAAAACACAGTCTTCCGTTTCAATCCAACAACATCAACCACCGTTTGGCCCTCCCACTGGTATTCGAGGGTTCCCCCCACGCGCATTGTTTAGCCACCCTGATGGTGTTGCTCCCCGGCCATTAAGACCCTGTGCTTCATCCACCCCATCCCCAGCTTTCTTAATCAATGGAAATCAAACCAACCAACATCCAATTACCCGTTCAGCTCCTAAAAACACACACTCCTCTGTCCACCATTCCGCCCCAATTCCACACTCCTCCCTCTCCAACAACTTTTTGACTTCTGCACCACACTTTACAATCAACCAACCACCGATCAACAACCCCTCTCTCACCCAGGTACCAACATATTATAACCAAAACCTTCACCAACAATCTGTCACCTTCAAGCCACTCAGCCTACACTGGATTCTACGGTCAGGCTGCTCCATGAACTTACACGGACATCAAAACACATTACCGGTTGCATCATTGCACTCAGACATCAACAGGTGAGTTTCTTGTCCACATTTTCTCCAAGCAGCTTTTCACATTATTTGAATTCTTATTGTTTCTCTCCATCAGTTTTCAAGGTTCCGTCATGTCAGATACACACACCAGCAACCCGCCATCTCTCCACCTCCCACTCATTCCATATCACACAACCTCACCTCAACAACCATTTCAAATCAACTTCCCTCCAGATCTTTCCCAACCAAACTGTGAGTAATCTAATGAATCTGTTTCTATTCTACCAGAGAAACCTGAGAGTGCTAAACCCAATTTTGTACTCAGCTGCCAACCACTTCGATACAGTGCCTTATCATCAGCACCACTCTTCAATTCATGAATCATACACTCTTTCTTCTACACCGTTCATCCCAATTCATCCATCACAAGATGCCAGTAGACTATCGAACCGTTTGGAGTGCTCTGCCGTTATTCCATTTTCACAAGCACCTCGATCTGAAAACCACCCTTATTGCATGTCTGGGTTTGTATTTTTCTGTCTCACACCTCTTCAGCTTTCATTCCTACTATTCTCCTCTTTCTATATTTTTCTGGGGGCAAGCATCATTTGCACCCAATTTCCTCTCTCTTATTTATTCTGTTCTGGGGGCAAGCATCATTTGCACCCAATTTCCTCTCTCTTCTTTATTCTGTTCTGGGGGCAAGCATCATTTGCACCCATCTTTCATTTTTTATTTCATTTTTCTTCTCTCATCTCATCTGTAGGAGCGGGCTGGGGGCAAGCATACTTTGCACCCACTCACTCACTTCTACAGTACCCCATCTCCCACCACACCACCCCCTTCCTCATTTGTTCAAACCAAAACTGACTTCCCAAATCTTTGAATCTGTTGTCTAGCTCCAGAAATAGAACCCGTCCTGGCAGGGCCTCCAAGCGTTGGACCAGATTCCGCGAAAAGGCTGAATCCTCATTCATTCTTCCCGCCAACAATGGTGAATCAACTCCAACACCTGAAGTAGACGAAACAATCACCACCGCGGGCCCTTCCAACAAACCCTTCTATTACTTTATACCACCAAGCCGTCAACATGACCCAAACCCCTCCAAAATCCTCACTTCCCAAGAGACCCTCCTTTCGCACTATACTGGCCTCTCCCATGGAACCTGTGTCATCGCCCCACAAAACATGCCAGCCTTTTGCAAATTCAAAACAACTCCCTTCTCCTCCATGTCGTCTGAGGAGCTTCAAGGTTGGGAAAAACTGGTTTGCTTTTTTCTCCAACAAACCGAATATGTGGCGCCAGTGAAAAACAACGGACCTTCCATGGGCGGTTTAATGTGGGCCTGTGGGTGGTGGAAGAGCTCAAAAAAAAAAGAAGGTTTTGGAAGATATTGTTCTGTCGAACGGCTGGCTGCTATGATCAGGAGGTCTCAATTTAACGCCAAGGACGAGGCTTCTGCGTTTGAAGAGGCTAACAAATGGATTGCTACACACCTCGAACAACTTGCTCCCCGTGCATTCAAAGAGTATCGTGAAGCTCTTATCGATGGCCAACTCCCTTCAATGGCTCACATGGAATATCCCTCCCCTTACACCATGTTTGACTTGGCCTCTTTCTTCACTTTCACTATGTACAACTTCTACAACGAACCCCACAAGGATACTGACGTCAACAACTGGACCCTAGTCTGCTGGATTCCAATCTTCAACCCTCGAAACTGTAAAGACGATGATCCGATTTTAGCTGATGAGGGCTTTGACATGATTGGTGGTCAGTTTACTTTTCGCGATTTTCAGGTCTATATTGACTTGAATGAAGTTGTAGGGGTCACCATGT